AGACACTGAGAAGCATTTCAGGGGTTTTTTTGCAGTAGCTCTGCCCAGTTCCTTGTCGTGTTCAAATAGCCTCTCTTAGTCTCATCTCCACAAGTATATAACAAACGTCCACTCTCATCTATCACAGTCACTCTTGGGGCCTCTACACTTTTGCGTTTGGGCTTTTGTTTATGTCTCCGCGGCTTCCAGCACAGTGCCGGCAAGCGCTGTGGGCTGAGCGGCGCTCACGGCAGGCCCTGAAAGCCCAGCTGAGTTTTTAAGGAGATTTATTGGCCGTTTGCGGTCCTTCGGATTTCCTGATCAGTCTGGTGGCTTTTCCATGCGGTCGGCGGGGCCTTTCAGCAGCCAGCTGGCTGGTCTGGGTCTTAGCGAGTGCGCAGCCCTGAACACCGTCCTGAGGTGTCTCTGGAAAGGGTCTGAAGGGGCGCTCACCCACCAGGGTCTAGTACTAGGGGAAGGTTGGGCCAAATTTTGTGAGGGTATAGTTTCCACTGCATAAAAAATCAGATTGCTTTTATAGAAAGGGGGGCTATTTTCTATTTAACCTTCATTTATTCACTCAACAAACATGCCCACCCTGTGCCACTCTGCGCCCGGTGCCACGGCAGCCACAAGAAGCAGGACAGTGAGCAAAAGCAATGTGGCTCCTGTGTTTTGGGAGCGTGCCATCTAGACCAGGACTCCCCGACTCAGTGCTACCGATATTTTGGGCCAGGTAATTCTCTGTTGGGGGGCCGTCCTGCGAGCTGTGGCATGTGCAGCAGCACCCCTGCTCTCTACCCACTGGATGCCGGTAGTACCCCCCACCCCCAGTTTTAACAACCAGATCTGCCCAGGTGTGGCTAAGTGTCAAGAGGAGGGACAAAGGCTGGTCTAGACGAAAGACAGGAAACAAAGAATAAGACAAGCGATGTGTCATTTCAAAGAGAGTCACGCTCTGAAACATGGGGACACCCTTACAAGAAAGCAGGTGACAAAAGAATCAGACAGAAGGTCAGAAACTGAAATACAAATCAACTCTGCCGAGTTAGTCTGTGGTAACTGCACAGCGTTTTAACTTCTGGATGCAGAAATTCATCGTGGAATCCCAAGCATTCTTCCTTCTTTTCTCACGTCAGGCTCAGAACGGCCTTGCCAACCCGGCCACCGAGAAGTCGGGGAAGATGGACATGGCGGAGGCTTTGGAGCTCAGTGAAAAGCTGGTACGTAGAGACAACCTCCCGTACAAACGCGGGCCCCCGGCAGTCAGGGTGAACCTCGGGGTAGTGTAAGCACCGCCCCCACATGCGTCTTTGGCTGTTACAATGGCTCTGCGAGACCCGTCTACCTCCCCAGCATGGGTCAGGCGCAGCGTAACCAGCCTCCTCGGAAGCCTGCAGAGTAAGAACGAATGTTTATTTCTGTTGTCACCCCCCCACCACCAGCCCAATTCTCAAAAAGGCATAGCATAAATGGATGTGGGGAAATGAACATCACACTCAACACCCCAGTTGCACTCCTTTCCAAAACCTGTGTTGACTCCGGGCGAATGCCAAAAACGAATGCATCAGAATTAGGCATTCGCCTCCCTCCGCGAAGCTGCCGCCAGCCGCCTCGGGCCAGGCCTCTTACCTGCAAAACACCTGCCTTCCTTGTAGTACATGGATCTGAGCAAAACGCTCGGGAGTCTGATGAACATCAAGGACATGGCAGGTCACGTGTCCATGAAACACCTCTCCCCCAAAGAGAGGGAGAGGGTCAACCAACTCCGACAGAGGGACCTCGACCTGGTGTTCGATAAGATCACCCAACTCAAGAGCCGGCTGGAGAGGAAGGAGGAGCTTTTGAGAGGATACGAGAAGGACATTGAGCAGCTCAGGTACCGCCCGTGTCCCCGTGTCCCCGCAGAAAGGCCCAGGCCTCCACTCCCCCGGCTAAGCCTCAGGGCAGGGGTGCGGAATGACAAAAATCTGAGGACGGTGACCAGAGCTGGTAGCAACAAGCGTCTCGCTGAGACAGCAGCCATGGAGGGAAGAGCTCAGGGTCCTCCACTCGCTGCTCTCCGTCCATGAATGAGCTGCGCCTTTTCTGGATCTGTCTTACGCTTCCGCCCTCGAGAACTTTCTGTAGCTCCATCGCATTTCCGGTGGCCGCTGGTCACCCCCCTCTGACCTGCTCTGGGAAACCGGGAGGGGCCGGCCACACATCCCTTGCCCTCCTCACCCTTCACTGATTCAGCCTACCCGCTCTCTACTCTGCCCTGCACTCTCCTGCGTGCCATGACAACACTAAGTTAGCGGGATCGGGGAGGATCTGCAGAACCTCCCGGGTCGGGGCTGTTGACGGTGAGCGAGCAGGACGAAGGGAAAAGAGGCTTTGTGTGTCTCACACGCTCAGGCAGAGCAAAGTGTCCGTTCAGATGTACCAGTCACAGGTGGAAAAGCTGGAGGACGACGTCTACAAGGGGACCGAGGAGAAGGCACTGCTGAAGGAGGCCCTGGAGCGCACGGAGCAGCAGCTGCGCCAGGAGAAGAGGCTCAACAGGGCCATGAGGCAGCACAAGGTGAGAGGCCCCCGGCCCAGAGCGCGGGCTCCGGGCCGCCCCTCCGCCCCCCAGGGGGAGCCGGGCCCAGGAAGGCGGCGGAATAGCTTTCACATCGGACAGAGCTGGGTTTAGACGCTCCATCCGCCACTCACTGTGTGATCCTCTCAGAAACTCCTCTGTGTTTGTTTTCATGGTGGCTCTTGGGGATACATAGATGAATAAGCTCTCAGAGAATAAAAGATTTGGTTTCACTATACTGATTGCCCAGAACGTAGGAAACAGCCATGTCTCCTATATGTATATACACATTTACATGGATATGCATAAGTATACATATCTATATACATATTTGATGGATGGATGGACAGGTGGATGGGGACGGAGAGATGTCCCCGAAGAACAGAGCCATCCTTTCGTGCGGAGCAGACAGGTGAAGAGCTGACTCGGAGGAGTGCCTTGCAGAAGTCTGCCCTCCGGCCCGCAAACCTTCCCGACCGCAGGCCCCCTGGATGGCAGGCCCCCTGGCTGGCAGCCCCAGGAAGGAAGGGGGCACCCCGCTCTGAGGGAGCACCGGCGGGGCGTTTCTCGCGTCCACCACTCTTGAGTTAACCCTCACGGACCCCTGTCTGCGTGCGTCACACCAAGCCTCGCCAGGGAGAGAGCCAAGCCAGTGACTGAGCTCCGACTTGTCCTTTAATGTGCCCTCTGGAGAGCTCACCCCTTCTGGGGCGACCCCTCCCCCCACAGGGCATGGCAGGCTAGGCCCCCAACCGGAGACACCAGACCACAGAGTGGGACTGGCAAAGGGCCCAAAGAAGGCCATTGTCATGTGCTGGCTAAAAGTGTAAGCAAGCCTGAGGATTTACATAATCAGGCTTCACATGCATTATTCATGGGCCCGCCCATTCATACACAAATGCAGGGGCCGTGCCCACCTGCTGGGCATTACACACCCTTCCGTGGAGAAGGCTCTGCAATGGCCAAGTTGAACCTGTGACCGGGACCCCAGAAGAGCTAGTGTATGGGAACTTTCAGGTTTACGGCCTTCACAGTCTGGGGGAAGATGTCTAAGAACTCCAGCCATGAGCATGGCGGCGACGCTGGTGGCATTATGTATCGGGTGCTTACGGAGTCACCACTCCGCATGGCGCATGCTGCCTCTGTCCCGTCAGCCCTACACGGAACGCTGGCGGGTGTCAGCCCGTCTGAGAACACGCTGGGGCCGCAGGGGGTCCGTCACCTGGCCGCTCAGCGCAGAGGCGGGGTTCCCGGGCACACCGGCTGCCCTCCCCAGCCCGGGTCACTTTTCCAGGCCCATTTCTTCACCAGCCCCTCAGCAGGGCACCCCTCACCCTCTGCTCTCCGCCGCTCCTGGGCTCTCTCACCAGGGCTTGGCTTTGCACTCAAGGTTGGCTACTAATATGTTGTCGGAAATTCCTGTTTGTCAGGGAAAATAATAATGAATGTTTCAAGTTTTGCTGGATTCTGAAGGGAACGTGTATACACCTGTCTGGGCATCGGTTTCTTCCAAGGAGTATATATTCATTTTTAACATGGAAGTTACAGGAAAATAGGATTCCTTTTTGTCTTAAGTTTTACTCGTAATATTTCCACAAAGAGTCATATTTTTTTTTCTTGGTCCCCTGTATAAAATGTCGCCCACTCAGAGAAATGGTCTAGCTGAAGCTCTGGGAAATGAAATTAATTACTCACCCTGAGCTTCAGAACTCCCACCCCCCTCTCCCCCCGCAAAATGTAGCTTTAATGTTTTAGCATCTCATCACCAAGCAGAACTTTCCAGAGTCAAAAGTCATGCCCCTATACTAATCCCTTCGTGAAAACGTAACTTGATATAAAATGCTGAGAAAACCTCAGTGCTGGACGTGCCCAGACAACCCTGTGGTCATCGGCCTCCAGGTGCCTCGAGTGCCCTGGGCCCGCAGCTCCGTCCAGGGGACCGAGTGACAGCGACAGTGGCCCAGGCTTCGCTCAGTCTAGTCCACGCCCCATATCGCTAGAGAAGGCGGCAGCGTGTGTCGGCATTCGAAGGCGGACTTTGGGGTCAAACATAGGGTTCGATCCCCACTTCTGCCCCTGAGTGACCCCTGAGTAAGTGGCTTCACTCTGTATTTCAAGGTCGCCAACAAAAACAACCCAAAACGGTAGCAATAGAAGCGACTTCACGGGGACACTGGGTGGGTTCAGTGATGGGATGCTCGGTGACTACCAGGGAGGGAAATGGCAACTAACTCCTGGTAGGGGGCGGGGTCCTGCATTTCCCCCAGAGAGCTTCCTGCCAGCTGTCTGCTCCGCGGGCCGGGGAGCTTTCCAGCTTTCCTGCCCCCCTCCCCGCCCCGCCCCGCTGCAAAGCCGGCAGCTCTTTTGTGAACCTCTTTTTCTGTTTGGTGAATACAGCTAGGGCCGCGGCCAAGAAAAGGCCCAGATACTTTTTGTGACTTAGGTTAAGGCTGGAATTTTTAATCAGGAAATTTGAAATGCACAGAAGTTGCCACTCGGGAAGCACGCCAGCCCTCTTCATTCGGGCTCCCAGGCTCCGCTCGCCCGCCAATCAAATCTCTAGCCAATCAAGTCCTGGCCAAGGGGCGTGGCCACAGCCTTGCCGGGTGGTCTCCGCGGCTCCAGAGCCCCTAATTTTTCCTCCGCTTGATTAGCTCAGATTCCTCATCTTTAAGATGAGAATAAAAATGGTGCCTAACGCATAGCATTCAGTTCCGTGAGCGCGTATGTACAAAACCCTTGATGCGTAGGACTGACCGCTCAATAGATGTTCTTGTACCATCATCGCTATCATCACTATTCCTTTACTCGCTGTTTCCCAAGGTCGTCTTGGGCCTAGGTAGTCGCCAGATCCTGGTTCCCTCGGTGCCACTCATGTGTTTTTGACCACGGAGCAGGAATTGGCAGGATGAGAATGGGACAGGGGAAAGGGTTGACGGTGGTGCCCTCTGGCCCACACAAGCTGAAAAAGTTAAGACGTGCTTAGGGTGGCGCAGCGCATGGGTGGAAGAGGAAGGAAAAGACCCTGCCCCCCACCCCATCTTTTGCCTACCCACTCTTGAATCCCTGCCACCTCCTAGCAGCCTCAGAGGTAGGTCCCAGGATGGGGCAGGTTAGGACACACTAAACACTCTCTTGCTCACCTGCTATTTTCACGCAGGAACGTTTAGAGGATCGTGAACAGAAAAATGCCAAAGAACCAACACCGTGCAACTGTCCCTTCAAAGAGAAAGAGAGGCAGGTATGGAGGGGTTTTCTGATCTTGCAGCCAGACACGAAGTCAATGTAGCATTTTCAAGGGTAAGAGCTTATTGGGGGTGTCCATGCCAGTGTGCACCTACCGCCCAAGGAGGAGCGACACACCTCCACTCCCTCCCCTTCCCCCCGCCCAGCCCCTGCCCGGTCCCCTGCCCGCTCCCTGGACAAGCGACCTAAGACACAAGCAAGCATCTAACCCAATTTCTGGAGGGGACAGAAGGCAGAGGGGAAATGCAAATGCGGTTTTGGCTGATGGGACAGCCATTTTAGGCTCTAAATGATTTGGAGACTCAAAGTCAAGATCATAAGAGAAGAAGAGTGGGGAGCCCCAGGACCCCCCGCCCGGAGAATGACAGAAGCGGTCGAAAGGAAGGAAGGAAGCAGCGGGTACAAACAGGAGCCAGGAGTGAGGATGAGAGTGTCCACTGTCGCCACCTCCGCGCCTAGCCAAGGGGGGAGCTTCATTTGACGGCTTTCTGGCGGCCACTGGCAGATGGAAAACCCAGCGCGGTGCAGAGGTCACGGTATCCATGAGATACGACGGATGTGATGCTCAGAAGTGTCCTAGAACAAAGACAGTGCCGGCTTTTTTTTCCCCCAGAGAGGACATCGTGCGACAGCATGAACAACATCCCTAAGAATAGCAGGGAAACGCTGGCTGCGCCCTGTCTGAGAACAGCTTTGGAGACAGACTGATGTCATCCCGCGTCCCCGCGAGTCCAGGAAAAGCAGCTGTGCGGGGGCCAGACCCTGCCCTCCAGCCCTCAGCTGTCGGCCGATGGATGGGCTCGAATCCAGGGAGATATTTGGGAGCGATGTTCAAACCGGGGTTCCCTGGAGCTGTTGGGTTCCGTGGTAGGCTGTGACTCAGCACGCCCACACCCACACACCTCGCTTCCACGAGAGAAGCTCTGCCTCATCTGTTTTATATGTCGTGTTCTTTCAAGACATTCTGCTTGGGTGAAGAGTCCTCCTGCCAGAAAAGCAAAAGAGGAGGGAGGAAGGTTACTGGTTGAAAAGTACTGCTTTACAATATCTGCGAATCTGGCTGGCGACTGTCCTCTGGGCTTAGTTCCTCTCAGCTAAGTTTGTGATCAATATTGAGTAGCGGCAGGCTCAAGGCCCTCACCACGGAAAACGCCTGGAGGGCAACTGTCAGTTAAATGCCGGCCCTTCAGAGAGGGTGGCTCTGGGGGCAAAGTCAGCGTCCGTCCCCAAGAGTGGGAGAGCCTTACGAGCAGCTGTGCCCCATCCCAACAGATGGCCTTCCTTCCTCCGTGAGTTTCGTGGACATCCAAGAGGGCAGCCAGAATTAAAATGAAACGAAACAAAACAAGATGCCCAGTAAAATCTGAATTTCAGATAAATAATCCAACAATTGCACGGGACCTACTTATGCTAAAGCAATTCTTTGGTTTCATTCCAAAGTCCAAGTTGAACTGGGCACCCTGTATCTCCCCTGGCCACCACACCCCCAAATCTTTACTGCGCACCGACCAGCCGCTGAGGGGGTGGGCTCTGAAGCAGATGCTGCGAGATGGCAGCCCACAGATGATTTCCTTTAATTCATGGGACTTTTTTTTTTTAAGTAACATTGCAAAATACAGCACTTTCGTGGAATACCCTGGATTTTGGGCTTCTCTGGGAAATTGGAAATTGGAAGATGTGGCCACTTGAGGCCCATGGTGCCACGGCCACCATTTTCTGGGCCCCTTAGAAAGGTGCTGGGCGTGGGCGTTTGCCGGCGTCCCCACCCAGCTCACTTCATGTGTTCGACTTCCCTGGCCCCTGTAGGCAGCAGGTTGGTGGCCCCAGTGCATGCTCAGGGCTCTCTGAGAACGTCCCCTATCCCCCTTCCGGATGCCCCTGCACGGTCACCTGCAGGGTGTCAGGCTGGGAGGAAGGCCCTAGCTCTCTCTCACTGTTGTGTCCCCAGCACCTAGGGGATGCTTTTTCCTCAACAAACTGTCCCTGAGATCTGGGGTCTTGAGGAGACCAGGGCCAGCAACAGTAATCATAGCCCAGGGGAAGCTCCAAATTTGTCCCCGACAGGGAGGAGGCTGCCGTGGCTCTCACTGTGTTTGGGTCCTGGCCTAGGACACCTGGGAGGAAACCCACTGCACATCTGCAGTCCCTTCCTAGGATCTGGGGGGCTCTGCTTCCGGCCAAAGCAGGCTGGTTTCCCTAGGGCCCTGGACCGACCAGCCTCCTCCCCTCGGCTCCCCCTGGAATCTGGAACAGAGGTCCCCGAGGGACACAGCGGGCAGCGTAGCATTGCCCAGAGCCACCTCCCCTTCCGCAGACCTGACCCTGGGAAGGCCCCACGTTCCATCCAAATGGGCAGCAGCTGAAAGTTGAGAAAAATCCATTTTTCTTTGACGCAAAAGTCGAAGAAGAACATAAGCTAAACCGTGCCACTGTTCTTTCTGTGTTTAAGAGGCGAGTGTTTGTAGAGGCAGTGAAGAACAAGATGCAGAACTCACACTCCCAGGTGAGCGGCGGGAGAGGAGAGGAATCAGTAGGAGGTCAGCAGGAAACCCGGGTGTCAGGGACCCCCATATGTTGTGTTCTGAGCCCTTCGTACGTGCCAGGTGCAAAGCTAAGCATCAGCTCATTCAATCCCCACCCCAACCCTATGCAGTGGGTATTGTTATTACCCCCAGTGACCCCACGAGGTGCCTAAGGCTCAGAGACTGAAGTAATTTATCCAGAGCCACACAACTAAGGAGGAGAGCCGGAACTCAATGCCGACAAACACCCAGGTGAGCGCTGCTCACCCTCTTTGAGATAATAAATGTCCAGGTAATAAACCTGATACGTTTCGGGTGGCATTTCTCTTGAATTCCAAGGAGGCACCCTGTAGAACACTCCTGAGTTGAGAATCAAGGCTCTGAAATCTTAAACGTGCTGCAACATTGCCATTCACAGTTCCGCCCAGGAACTGGGACTGACCCAACTTATGTTCCCACTTTGCAGAGACGAGATGCACGCTCTCAGGAAGCTTAAAGGCAAGCACGTTTTAGTTGGATAAGAGAGAGGAGATATATTTGAGTTTGATAAAAGGCCACCATCATTCTGAAACAACAAAATGATGATTGGGAAAAAAATGATTCTAAGTAAGAGACATTTTTGGAAAATAAAAGCCTCTTCCTGACCCTGTTTTTTAGGACTGGAGGGTGGTTCCTACCCAGAGCAGGACGTTAGGAGGACAGAACATCCCGGGGAACCCCCACATCTGAGACCTTTGTCACCCTGCGAAGTGGGAAGAGAGGGAGTGTAGTCACTTACTCACGCATGCGTACGGTGGAGCCCGGAGCAGGCACAAGCTGCCCTCCGAGGCCGCTGGGGGTGTGAGATGACAGAGGAGCCACAGGAATGGGCCGATACCACGTACTTCTCTGCAATGCAAAGCCTCCTGGAGCCTGAGGACACCTCTGGTCTGAACAGAACGTGGGTAGACGATGCGGATAGAAGGTGGCGCTCAGAGCAAAGACTGAGCTCCCCCTCCTTCCAGCCCTCCAGCCCGCCCTCAGGGGCTTGGTGTCCAGGACCTCCTCGGGGCAGAAAGGTTTCCCCCAGGTTCCTCGCAAAGTGTGGCTCGGGGTCTCCTCCCCACTCAGTGTGCCTTGAGTCCGTATGGGCATGGAGTCATCGTGGCCACCTTGACAACGACACGGCATGGGAAACCTCATCTGGTCTTGCCCACCCATAAAGCAGTCTCCACGCCAGCTAGCTTCAGAACTGGCAGCTCCTCCCTTTGTAAGGTCCTGGGCAGTTTGTTTTTCTGCCCTCCAAAGTGCCATTCATTAATTTTGTTTTCATTGCAAGCTAACAGTCTTTTATCATGATGTGTCCGTTGTAGGCTAATGAGGAAAATCTTCTAGTTAACAGATATTTACTGAATACCTGGTCCAGGCCACACGCTGTGCTGGGCACTGGGGTTGGAAAAGTAAACGAAAAGACACCCTCCCAGCCCCCATTCACTCCACAACTGTTTACGAGAGCCCACGCGTTGTCAGGTGCGGCCCAGGTGCTGGGATTCAATCACGAATCCCCAGTGGGGGCAGTGTCACTCCTGAGGGGGCAAAAACGCCTTTTTAAAAACGTGTAAAGCACAGACAGACATACAGTGCCGTCTGTGCTATTAACATCTCACGGGTGTAGGAGCGATGAGGCAAAAATGTCTAAGAAGGCTCTTCAAGGAAGGACCATAATGAAAAAAAAAGGAGGGGGTGAGAAACCCCAAGTTAAACCAATGAAGACACACAAAACTGCCTGCCTTTCTGGCTTATATTCTTGAGTCACTTTAAAAAAATAAAAGAAGAAGTAATGATGAAATAATTACTTTGTACAAAATGTTTTGAGGGCAAAGGCCAACGGACTGAGCTCAGGAGTGTATCCACCCACAGGGACCCACCCAGTCCAAGGGCCAGGAGAGGCCTCCCAGAAGGGGGCTGTTTAACTGGAGGCCCGAGGTGGCGTGGGAACAGGCTGGGGTCTTCCCAGACCCCGGTGCTTGAGGTTGACTGGAGTCCCCCCCCTCCAGGGTGCTGAGTTCATGTCCACGTGGGTGTAGCTATTTAAATGACTGGCTTCTCTCCAGGCCTTTCCATTCTAAGGGTGAGCCCTGTACCTCCAAACCCCAAGCTGAAAGTCCGCCGATTCCCTTCCGTTTAGGGTAGGCGTTTAGGGTAGACCCAGTCACATGTTCCCTGTCCTTCCAGCCCTCATTTGCATTTTCAAATTTCTCACTTTCCTTCTCTTCCTCTTCCGGGTCACCTATCCTGGCTGCCTCCTGCAGCCCCGCCTTGTCACTTCATAAAGTGGACCAAACCTCCAGTCTCCCGGCGGGTCTTGGATCGGGGATCCCCCGGACTGAGGAGTCTTCACTGTTAACTGACTCCCTGGCTCCGATCTGACAGCCAGCCCCACGCCCGGTCAGGCCGCTGGCACTGGGGACCCCTCCACAGCCAGCGATTTCATTGAAAACCAAATCAAAAGGGCTCAAAAGGAGAGGCGGTTTCCGGGGGAGGGAGGGAAGGTTTCCAATATTTGCTGTCTGCTTTCATCGTCCCTGGCACTCCGGCCCAGGTAGACTTGGTGGGCTGGTGCAGAGGTGTTTGCCCCTCTCACCCTGAAATGACTTTGAACAAGATCTCAAGGCACTCGCGAGGCCCCTGCCCGGGGCTCAGGAAGGGATGCTTAAACCACGAGATGGTCCAGTAGCCCTTCCATTGAAATCCACCCCGAACCTCCTCTTGGGGGGCAGTGGAGGAAGACTGGGGAGACATCCTGGTCTCTATTTGACAGATAAGGAAACCAAGTAACGGAGTAACCGAGGTTAGCCTGTGGCAGAGCTGAAATTCGACTCCCCACAGCCCTCTTCCCCCAGGGTTGCACCCTCACCATCCTCACCATCCTCACCTTGAAGTCAAAACCTGCCGGAAGCAGGGCTGGAATCTGAAGCCTGTTCTGGAACTTGCAGGTTACAGTCTACCCGCAGTAGGTGCGGAGCTGTGAGAGACAGAGATTCTTGGGTTGCAGGGAATGCAAACCTATTCAGACAGAGGGAGGGGGCTTTTGTAAGGACACCAGAGTGGGTATGTGGTAGAAACAGAGCAGAAAGGGAGTCTGGCCTCCAGAGAGAGCGGGTAGGCCGCGGGGCCCAGGCATCGTGGGTTTTACACACACACACATTGCATTCCCTCTCTGCCCCCCTCCGTGTTTCTGCTGATCTCTCTCCAGTCATGGGACAGGAAGGGGTGACCTCAAGGTCGCCCGGGTCAGAGGGCCAGCCCAGGAAGTGAGTGACCTCTCAGAGCCCATTCACCCCAAATCCTGGGAGCAGCCACCTTAAAAGCCTAGCTTGTGCCAAGTGTCCAAGCAACCAGACCAGGGCTAGGGTCCCCCGCGTGGCTTCCGGGAGGTGGGGGTGGGGCCGCACTCATAAAACGGCGAAAGAGACCCCCTCCAGTACCCTGCCTTTTCCCTCCCGTGACCTCAGGGACATGAGACACGTGTGCAGTTCGGCAACGGCTTTTCCTGAGAAAGATACTCCGTCACAAAGAATGTGCCCGTTCTAAGAAGCCCCCGGTTTGAAAGACACGAATATGAGCAGGGACAATTTTGCCTTTGTATCTGGAAGGGTGGAAGCTGAAAATCTCCAGAATGAGTATCTTGGGTAGTGTGATCATGGTGGATCATTTCAGCTTCCTTTTGCCTGTATCTATGGATATATACATACAATACTATACTTTTTTTAAAGAGAAGTTTTATTTCAAGTGGCATGTTCGGGGATGCCACTGCCACTGTAGAGTCTGTACATCTGTTTCTCTTGCTCGTTGAAGGTGGGAGCCAGAAAGGCCACCCCAAAGGTGGACCAAGAAGGACAGACGCTGAAGAGAGGCCCTTCCAGCAAATCCAGCCAGAATCTTCTGTTCCCTAAGCCCGGTGGAAGGAGCTAGACAGGGCATCCTGCCGGCCCTGCACGATCCTCTGTGAGTCAGCGTGACTCCTCTGTGTCAAAATACTGAGACGCTTTTGTAGGACTTGAAAGGCTGCCACCCCAGCACGGTGCCCCTAGACTGGTGTTGTGCACGGTGCCGTGTTTTGGATTGTGGGGCCTAAGGGGTTCTTTTAAAAAATACCTAACAATGTACACAGACTGGGGCATAGGAAGAGTGCAGGTTTGAGACGCAGACTCCTGGGTCTAGATGCATTTCTGTGGTTCCACATTTGAGTCATGACATACCCATTGTCACCATCAAGGAGCCCCAAGAAACCCACAGTTAAGAAAACCCAAGACTGCTACTTGGGGCCACAGGACAGACTGGTAACCTCGGGAATGGTGGGGCTATGGGACAGTGCATTGCTATCTGAGGTTATTATAACACATTTAGAACGCCAATCAGGTGTATCACTTCCATGACAATGATGAGCACTTATGTGGCACTCTGCAGTCTTTGGAACACTCCTCATCGAACCCTCACCCGAGCCCTGGGAGGTAGAGAGTGCTCTGTTCTCCATTTAACAGATGACAGATGAGGAAGCTGAGGCCCAGAGAGGTTAAGTGGCCTGTCTAAAACCAAACAGCTGCACATTCAAGAGTTGGGTCTGGAACCCAGGTTTCTACTTGCATTTCATACCGCTCATTCTGCTACACCCCGATGGCCGGGGGGAGCGAGTCCCAGGCCATCAGGACAGACCAGCACCCGGTCACCAAAGAGCACACGCCGTCCAGGCAGACACTGCCCTTTTCACAGTGTGTGCAGAGGCCTCATCTCCCGTGAGCTGCCCCCTCTCCAGCCAGCTGTCCCCTCGCTGCCTCTCGTGTGTGGCCAGGGCCGCCCAAGCAAAATGGGAAGAAGAACCAGGCTATCATTTCCCTTTTTTTTTTCAAAAGCCACAATAAAAATATTTTCATATTTCAAAGACAAACACATTCTTTATACTTATCAAAACTAGAAGGAAGTAGATTTTCTTTGTGTGACATTCCACTGAAGGGCAGTCCTATACAGGGCCAGGCCCTGAAGTCAATGAGAAAGGTGAGCATCACCTGATCTTCAAAATACTCTTGAGGATTCTGGGAATTTTTTTTTTTTTTTACCATAGTATTCTTGATTGTGTACCACATCCCCAAAGTCCAAAACAGGAAGTTTTTCTCCAGCATCAGAGATCACTTGGTTAGGCGGTAAGGAGTCCCAGCGGCTGGCTCATGTTCAGGAGCCCAATCTTGTGGGGGGGGGGAATGTCATTTGTTGGTGGAACATGTATATTTGAATTTGTGTAAGTTAAATGTAATGTCTGTATGACTCCACTATTTTTTAGGGCTTTCAAAGGATGTGTTAACTTGTATATTTGAATTTGTGTAAGTTAAATGTAATGTCTGTATGACTCCACTATTTTTTAGGGCTTTCAAAGGATGTGTTAACTTTTATCATATGAACATGGCGACCCACGATGGCAATTTCATTTCTTCACTCCTTCAACTAGGTAGCTTTTGGGGTGTCTCCACAGCCACATACCCTTTCCCTGAGAACGCATCTCCCCCCACATCAGGTTAGCCCTACCTAATGCTGTTCTCTTGGCCACACCTGGTTGGCCAAGCGATAGATATCCTACTAAGCTGGACCAATCAGGTTTCTCCTCTAACTGAAGCTGGGCCAATCAGCAGCTGTGTTTTTAGTGTTTGGAAGTAGACTCGGGGATGCCATGCCAGCCATTAGCAGTGCTGGAGCGGAGAGTCTGATGCAGTTCTGGGGTGGGTGGCCACTTCCTACCTTGTGTTTGGAGAAATTGGAGAAACAAAGCCAGTCTCCAGAGAGAAAAGGCTGGGGTAGATATGCAAAAAGGAGAGACAAGAACCCAAGACTCCCAGAGAGACAGTGTAGCAGATACGACCCACCAGCCCCTCAGTCATTGCCTCCCTCTATTATATAAGCTGAACGCTAACCACGCTGATTTTCCAGCATCCCTTGCGGCGAGAGCTGGCTATGGTGTTCAGTTCTGACCAATAATATGTAAGCGAAGGCCCCTGAGGGGGGCTTCTCTTCTGCAATAAAAAAAAGGCAAGTCTTTGCTAGAGAGAGTTTTTTGCCCTTTGTTCCTTTACCTTGTCTCCTTTCTGTCTCCTGGAGCTCAGACTTGGAGCTGGAGCAGCCATCTGGGGATCACCAGGCCACACGCCAGAGGCCGAAGCCCACCTCCGAAGAAAACGGAACAGAAAGACGAGAAGGGCCTGGGCGTCACCCCTGTGCCCGGCTCCATGCCCGAACTGCCTACCTCTGTACCTCTTGTTGTGGGAGACAAATAAATTCCTTCCTGTTTAAGTCACTATAGTCAGGTGGACCTGTCTGTGCCGTGGGACAAACTATTCAAAACCTAATGACTGAAAATGACCCTATTATCTCTCATGATTCCATGGGCCACGCCGGGCACTGGTGCTGGTCTGGGCTGGCTTGGCTGGGGCCAGACAGTTCGGGACGGCCTCATGTACATGCCTTGTCACTGGTAGGTCAGTGGTTCTCAATCAGGGGGCGATTTCGACCCCCAGGTGACATCCAGCAATTTCTGGACACAATGCTTGTTGTCCCATTTGGGAGGGGGTACGGGGAGGGTATGACTATCATCTATGAGTAGAGGCCAGGGATGCTGCTAAACACCCCACAGTGCACTGCACTCCCCACGACAAAGACGTATTTGATCCAAAATGTCAGCAGCAGCAAGAGTGAGAAACCCCAGTCTGGAGGGGCATCAGCTGAGACAGTCTGTCCCTGCATGGCGTGGCCTCTCAACACCCAGCTGGCGAGACCGGGCTCTTTCGTGTGGGCCGGGCACAGGTTCCTCCGCAGAGCAGGAGAGACCAAGCCCCAAAGCACAGACCCTTCTCGTGTGCCTCGGTTTGTTCCTATTCCGTCAGACAGAGCAAGTCACATGTCCGGCGTTGGTGTGGGAGGGGCTCCAAATTTACAATCTACCCACACCCCTGTATTTGATACTGAATGCAGTCCCTCTGATACCTGGTAACTTTCTGGCTCCTGGTGTTTTTCCTTGGGAAAGCCATTTGCAATGTCTGTCCTTGGGTTCCACCGGGACCCTGTGTATCACTCAAGATTATTTAGTTGCAAACAAGAGAAACCTCCCGTGGCTAACTTCAGCAGAAAGGGAGGTCAGTGAAGGAAAATGAGGGAAGTCAGACAATCAAAGGGCAAGCAGAGCCAGAGTCAGGCCAGTCGGGAACTGGCTTTTCTCCCCCCTAGATACCCTCTTTGTGCGTCAGCTGGTTTGAATTTTTGGTATCTCTGCAACCGAAGTGACCTTCACTAAGACACTCTGCTGCACAGCCCCCTCCCAGAAGCCATAGAAACCTTTCCAAACAGACACCTGCAGTCCCCACCCCCTCCTAATCTTCTCATCCCCCAAGAAGCTAAGACAACTTCCTTCCGCCCTCCCTAACGGCAGCCTGTTTGGATTCTTGGACTCGTGACTCTGCAGATAAGGTGCCCTTCTCCAGCGACTTGGCAAGGCCGCCGCAGCCTGCTGTTGTGGAAACCAGAGTCGTGAGTGTGCAGAACACACAGCTTCCGGATCTGCGTCCCGAAGCAAAGCGCGCTCCTGGGAGGTGGAGGGGCTCCCGAGTTGGTCGGGTCTTGGGAACGAAAGCCACGCACTGAGGACGAGAGGAAACCAGACCTGCCAGTGCTGAGGTGTTTGTTCCTCTGCTCCGCGGCCGGCCGAGGCCTCCCGACGCAAGAGTCAGGTCGCCCGGTGAGGGTGGACTATTTCAGCTTATCAGCTTGGCCTCATTTCCATCAAGATGTGCTGCTTGCATCCGTCCGCTCAGTGTCCCAAGTTATTTTGGGCCAATTCGTGACCTTATGTGCCTGCTTTTGTTTTTACACATTTTTCTTTGCCTATCCGTTCCCCCGGGAGGCCTTCGCGATGCCTCTGTCCCGCAGCGGGAAGGCTTGGAAGCTCCTGCTTTGAGCTGCCTCTCCACTCCGGCACGTTGCTTTTGTTTCTAGAACCCTGAGTTAGGGGAGGCAGGACGTTTCACCTTCTGGCTAACTGTGGTCTTCTCATCGCAGAAACCGGAGGTGCCCTTTGGCTGATAAATCACTTTTACGCTTAAACGATCAGCCTTCATTCATTTAGGCAACAAATACAAGAGACCTACTCTGCACCAGGGACTCATGGTACTCTTGCGCAAGACCTCATGGCTTTGACCTTTGCTCCCCTTGCTTTCCCTGTTCTGGTCCGCAGCTCTCCCGAAAGCGGTGGGGATCCTTCACTGGCTGGCTACATTGCATGGGAGAGCCCGCCCTTGGGGGTCACATCCTCTTTATGGGCTTCCCGTGGAGCCACCGCTGGGCGTCCTGTAGAGAGAGCTGCGTGCAGCAGTGTCCCCTTTCTGGAAGTTTCTTTGTGCTTTTCAACAGTTGAAGTTTAACAGCTAATAACAGCACACTTTTTATAGTACTCCTGGCAAGCTGTCAGGCAACAGGCTAAGCAGAGGCCAGACCTCAGCCCACGTGGTCCTCGCTCTCTGTGCGCGTGACTCCTGCCGTACCCAGGGAAACAATGAGCAGGAAACAACCTGCCCAAGGCCAAGGGCGCCAGAACCCGGACTTTGTCCCCTTAACTGCTCCCCCGTATCACTTTCTTCGGTGAGGTCCGGGAACCAGCTGCCAGGCAGTAAAAGCCCTTTTCCTGTAAAGGGCCATTTTGCTCTGTGGACCTGAGAGTCTCTGTCATCACCGCTCAACGCTGTCATCGTACACGATACCAAATGAGCGTGGCTGTGTTCCAATAAAACTTTACAAAAACAGGCAGTGGGCCAGATATGCTGACCCCATGTGTTAAACTCTCACCCAGACGAGATTATTCACGTCTGCTTGGCGGTTGCCTGCGCGTGACTGACGGCCGGGGTGGCAGAGTCTAGGCATCTCTGTTACGGAGAGCATTCTGAGCTTTTACTACGGGCCACGCACTCTGATAAACTCTGTACATGGGTTTTTTTTCACTGAACCCTCTCAACGGCTCCAGGAGGAGATAATTATTGCCATTTTACAGACAATGCAACAGAGGTCAGAAAGGGAAAGTCACTTGTCCAAGGTCGCCCCACTGGGATTTTCAAACTCCTACCCATGACGCCACACTGCCTTTCTCTGGCAGAGCTGGACAGTTGGGAGTGTGGCCAGTGGGGCTGGACCCAGCGTGAAAGAACCGAGCCTTGGTGACGCACACACCCTTCCTCTGGGCCACCCGGTCCCCTAGCCCCTCCGCGAGTCACCTGCCTTCTGTGGTTGTCAATGCCTTAGGTCAGGTGTCCCTGGCCGAGGCACAGCCCGCTCCCTTTCATCCAACCCTGCCTATCTCTGCACGATGCTATTTCTACCATTTCCCTTCCCGTTTCCCAAATTCCCCGGTGCCCCTGCAGCGGCCACACGTGGGGGTTGTCTGTACCTTCTATGTATTCCTCCCGCTGTGTCTGCTGAGCAGAGAGCTCTAAATGACCTCTGGGCCACATCGATGCCCAAGGACCAGCAGGTCGCCCAGCTCCCTATCTAATGCCGCTGACACCGTCCTCAGAGGAGTAGGGGACAGACACCTGAGAGGTTTGTTTTTGAAGAGCTCCTGTTATCTTTTGTGTTGAGTCATGTGGGTGCATAGAGGTGTCACTTTAGCAGATTCTCTTTCTTGGCAGTGACCTTGAGACCTAAAAGCGGGCCGCTGGATGCTCCAGAGGGGACATGGAGAAAGCACCCAGTCTGGCCCCAAAAGATGAGGACGGAGCAAGATGGCCCACTTCGGGGCCAGCCCTTAGAGCAAGACATCTTGCATTCATTCAACAATTATTTCTTCCAGGCCAGGCCCCGTGCTGGGCACTGAGGAGTGGAAGTTGAACCAGAGAGATGAGTAGCTCCCCTCCCCCAGGAAGTCAAATCAGGGAGTGAGGTGGCGTCAGGTGTTGGATTAATGGCTTCATGGAGGGTGGTAATAGGTGTAGAGTCCCAGCCACAGGACTGTTTAGCAGGAGGAGTTGTAGCCTCTCCCAGCCCCCCAGCATGGGGTTGCAACAAATCTCTCCTCAAACTGCCAAGTCTTGCTCCTCCTCCGTCCCCCAGCCCCGGACCAGAAGAATCCCAGAACCAGTGGCCGGTGCCCACTTCATAAATATGACTTGGCTGCCGGGATGGGGACACACACTGCTTTCAGTGTGGCATACAAATCGTCATCAGCTGCCCAGTGTATCGCCCCCTCTGGAAGGGGTCCCCAGGGCAGGGAGCTCAGATGCAGCCCTGCTGGGATTTAAGGCACAAGGTGTGCGCGCACGCACACACACACACACACACACACACAGACTCTGAGAGTTTAAAACAGGCTAAAGCTCAGGCCTGGTGGACTTGGACAGTGAACTGCCCCGGGGTTTAACAGAAGCAGAGAACACGCTGAGGGCCTGTTGTTGTGGGTGTTTGCTTTTTCCAGGCTGCCCAGTTGAGCATATGCAACCAATCTGAAAGGTGATCTCAGCGTTCAGGTAGATTCATCGCATCTAAGATAACCACAAAAAGAGGGCTCTATAGATAGACGGCTGGGTTTCTAATGACCTGCAAACAGGTCGCGCGGCTGTCCCCATCGTGCCCTTTACCTCCTGCCCCGATCCGTGTCCCAGAAGCACCTGCCCAACATGGCTCCTTCCCTCCCCGGCGCACCCTTCCCACAGCTTCCGGACCCGGCAGGAGGGAGGGAGCCTCTGAGACCAGCCAGGCTGTGCCCCCCATGCCCTGCTGTCACCCCTCCAATCGCCCCAGAGGAGTACTTGAGCTCCTTTGGGGTAAATCTTGACCTCTGTGTACCTTCTCAATCCATCAAGGCTTTCCTGGTGACAGAGTGTTTGCGATGACTAATTAGTAAGCTGGTGTTTATAAAGTGCTAATTGTGTATTGCACTTTCAGGCAACTTTATCTCTGCCGGCCTCCCTCACCCCGTCTTGTTTTCCCAGCGTCTCAGGGTGGCAGGACCACCGCCCCCACCCAGGCTCTCTCGGGCTCTGAAACGCCCCTCTACACTGGCCCCACCTGCCCCATCCATCACCCGAGAGCTCTTTCCAACCTCCCGGTCTTCTCCTCCCTGTGTTTCAAAGTGCTATTGTTTTTCTTAGCACGACTTCCCCCCTCCCCAAAAGACAGTTACACAAGCAGATGTGGGAGGAAGGAGAGAAACAGAAGTCAATGATGACTAAGGCAGCCTCACTCCCTCCGCCCCGGGATACTGTCAGAGTCGGCTCTCGCTTGCCCCGCCCCTACGACTCCTTTGCCGAGGGTGTGATTTTCCCTGAAGATCATTCTTTCCACATGACCAAATGCTGTCGTGCGTCACCAGTCCCGATCGTTTCTTTCTGCCCAAATCCAAGCTCGGGACGCAGAGCCAGGGTCATTCGAGAACGATCTCTCTAAACGAACAGCCAACCGATAGTTCCTGAGAGTCTCACGATCTGATCCGTGCTCAGCACTTATCCCTGCTTTTCCTTTCGGCACTGCGTCTTTGATTTCTAAAGAAGTGCTCTTCCTGAAGTTCAAAAGCTTCAGAAGGGAAGTGTCTAAATAAAACGCAGCGCCCAGCAGGCATGTCTGGCTTTAGAGCAGAGCGGTGGTTGTTTATTACAGACAGAGCCCAGCTCGGCACACGCCAGCTCAGAGCACTGGGCAGCCTGAGCTCCCCTTCTGCATTTCGAGAGCCTCAGAAGTCTAACACCCGGAGGAGCTGACAAAACCCACCCGAGGTTGTAAAGGGCTCACCCTTCCGCGGGCAGCATTTCCTGAGCTCCACCCGCTTATTATAGCTCGTCCTGGGCGTTCCACTCCCCTTTCACTGGATGCAATAGGTGATGATCAGGAATCCTCCCACCTGTGTGCATCAGGGGCCGGGCCCTGCCTCCCCAGGGAGGTATCCACACAAGCCAAGTGGGCGTTTAATACACACAGCCCGTGTGAATAATTCAAACGAAGCAGGTATTTCACATATATTTTTTAAAGAACACAAACCACCCTGGCTGGCGTGGCTCAGTGGATTGAGCGCAGGCTGCGAACCAAGGTATCACAGGTTCGATTCCCAGTCGGGGCACGTGCCTGGGTTGCAGGCCACAACCCCCAGCAACCACACATTGATGCTTCTCTCTCTCTCTCTCTCTCTCTCTCTCTTTCTCCCTCCCTTCCCTCTCTAAAAATATATAGAGAGAAAATCTTAAAAAAAAAAAAAAAGAACGCAAACCCTCACATAATCTCTTCCCTGTTAAAAGTGTGCTCCCATGCCAAACAGATGCAAAGCCTTTCATAATAAAGGCGCCCTATTTCATGCAGACCCATGATAAATTATATGTTACAGCAAGGTGAGGTTCAGATTTTTTTTTAAGTAATTATGCGCTTTGTGAAGGAGGCTAAGAATTTGGCGAACCTGAACGTCTGCAGACAAGATTTTTAAAGTTCCATCTACATCCTGTCCCTAGTCTTTTGCATCCAATAAAAAGCAAAATATTGTCCTTCTGTTGCGTCCTTCAAGGCCGGGTGTGGGAGGTGTGGAAACCTGTCGGTTGCAAGTAACTAGGCCAAACTGCCCGAGACCAACAGAGACTTAATTCCAAGCTTTAAAAAAAACAACATCAAGTTATTTAACCTCAACACCTTTATTGAGCTCAGAAACAATCTCAAAAATAAATTAATCAAAGTTTCATGTTTTCTGAACGCTGAAGTTCTTTCCCCTTCAATCTCACTCTTTTCTAAATACCTTTTAAATTAATTCAACAATATTATTAAACTTTGGCAATTCGACTTATATCAGCTGGTGGTCTGTTCAAGCAAATCACTTTGTAGCCACTGCCGGCTCTGCCTTCTTAGGTGCTTCTCCACCTCCAGAGGATGGGGTGTTCTTCAGCCCTGTGCCCATCTTTTCTCTGCACCTTGACCACTGGGAGGGGTCTCTGCACGGGGGTCTTCGACATCATCCTAACATTTTAGAGAATAAACACAAAGCACAGTCCTCCTTCTAGATTAGTGCTTCTCAAACTTCAGTGAGCAGAGCTTCCTCGTGTGATTGTTAAAACGCAGAGTTCGGGACCCTGCCCCAGGGGTCAGTTTTGTCTGTCTGGGACTCTGAGTTATTAACCACACCCCCCCCCCCACACACACACACCTCCCAGCCTGGGTGGGGGGGTTATGCTGGAGGTCATAGCTTTGCAGTTTGAAGTTGACCATGAAGAGAAACCCCATCCCGTCAGCCTCTGGAGAGGACATGTCTCCTCTGGGGCCGTCGCTGAAGTAGCAGCATCAACATAGTCCAGTCGGTTTCCCTAAAGCAGAGGCACAGGCGACAGCGTGGCCCAGCAGCTATTCTGCCAAGTCATCTGTGTGATGTGCTGGACCAGGAGGAGAGACGACCAGCCCCTTCGCCCTTTCGCTTTCCCCCTGTCTCCCAACACCTTCCAGGACCGGAGCCCGGCCCCATCTCCCTCGCAGCTGCTGGCCCACCCTTTTCCAAAAGACGCAGCACCTCCCGCTGGGGTTAAATCTAAACGGGGGTTCCGCTCACCGGGGCCACCTTCTTCACACCCGTACAACCCCCAATGACAATGCCAGTGTGTAACAACGAGTCGTTTCCATGACAACCGACAGGGTACCTCGGACTCCAGACAGAGTACGACTTCACTGCGTGGAGATTCCAGAGAAGGGGTTGGGGACGGCGACCCTGAAGCCCCCGACCCACACCCAAACTGCAGGGAAGGAGCCCCTCTTCCTTCCCGCCAGCCCGACCTCTCCCGCTCGGCTGGCGCTTTGAGAATGGAGACGGGGGATGGATTTTTACGGAGACCCCCCAGTCTCACGGAGTGGCGGGTGGCGGGCTCGGCGTCACCAGCACACTGCGCCACCAGCACACTGGAGCCCCAGCGAATGACACCGAGCCCGCGCGCGCCGAGCGGGGCCAGGAGCGGGGGCGGGGAGCGGGCGGGCCCCGAGGGGCGTAAGTCCCACCTTCGGGGGCGGCGCCTGGCGCGGGGAGTGTCAGGAACAGGAAGAGCGCGGCCAGAGGCGGTGCGGGCGCGCGGCGACAGGGGCCGGGCCGAGACGAGCGCCGCGCGGGCCACCATGGCCACGGACGAGCTGGCCAGCAAGCTGAGCCGGAGGCTGCAGATGGAAGGCGAGGGCGGCGGCGAGGCCCCGGAGCAGCCCGGCCTGAACGGGGCGGCGGCGGCGGCGGCGTCCGGGGCGCAGGACGAGGCGGCCGACGCGCTGGGCAGCGCGGACGACGAGCTGAGCGCCAAGCTGCTGCGGCGCGCCGACCTCAACCAGGGCATCGGGGAGCCCCAGTCGCCCAGCCGCCGCGTCTTCAACCCCTACACCGAGTTCAAGGAGTTCTCCAGGAAGCAAATCAAGGACATGGAGAAGATGTTCAAGCAGTGAGTGCCTGCCCGACCCGGCCCCCCCACCCACCCGCAGCGGGCCTCGGGCCCCGAACCCCTGGCCCCGAGCCGCCCCGGGACCCCTGCCGCCAGCCTAGCTCCCCCGAACCCCAAAACACCAGGGGTGGGGATCCTACGGCCCCTTTCAGGTCATCGTGAGCTGGGGAACCCTCTGCCCCACTAGACATATGGGTATGGGGATCCCCGGCCCCTGTCACCCTTTCGCTAGGTGACGCCGCCCCCAGTGCACCATACTCACGCACACCGAGTGGGGGACCCAGCGGCTCCCTAGGTAATCACGAGTCCCGGCGAGTCCCCACTACCACCACATACATGGGTCTGAACACCCCGGGTCGCTGGCCTAGGACCCTACCCTGTTAGTGACGCTCCCCCCCCCCCCGGCCCCCACGCACACACCGAGACTGAGGAGCTCGTGGCCTCCCTTCCTACCCCCAACCCAACCCAACAAACGCTGGTCACAGCCACCCCCCAGCGCCTGGGCAGAGGTGACCATTTCCTGCACCCCGTACCACACACATTCCTTTCCTTGGGGGTCTCTTCATTTCCTCTGCCTGTCTCAGACCCCCGTGCCCCTCTGTCCCCCACTTTCCCCCTCTTTCTGTGCAGTTACTCAGCATCTGGTAGCAAACTATGGTAAAAGACCCTTCAGCCCCTCCCACCCCTACCCCACCCCTCTGTTAGCCAGGCCCCCAACCTTGATCCCCAGGTGGCCTCCCTAAGGAGGGACCCCTCAGTCCCGGCCCCCCACTTGCAGGTATGTGCAGCCTCCCCCCACGCCCCCACCCATGCAAATATCCCTTAAGGTCTTAATGACCTCCCCCACACTGCCCCTCCCTCCTCTTGCGCTCACCCCCCACCTGGCAGCTTTGCAGTCGCTGCCCCTCTACTTCCTGTCCTCATCCCTTCCCTGTGCCCCTCCTTGCTCCTGTGTGCCCCCTTCCCTCCCCACACGGGGTCCCAGCTGCCCTGCACTTCGCTCACTTCCCAGCAGCTCTCACCCCTACACTTCACTCCGTATAACTCCACACCCTGTATTCCCAGCAGGTTGGACAAGGCATCCCCCGGTGGGTGGGCTTCAGCCCTTCCCTGGCCAAACACCCTTAATATCTCTGTTGAGGGACTGGAGAGTGAGAGCTTCAGGGCCCCTCTGGTCCATCCCTGGGTGGACCCAGTTGAGAGTGAGGTGGTCAGCCACACTCCCCCCCTCCAGCCATGTTTGGGGGAGTGGTTGAGGGGAGATGGAGGTACACAGCACCCCCCTCCCTTTGATACCCTTCCCACTCCTGTGGCCCGGTGCCCTGCCCTTGGCTTCTGGAGGGGACATAGCCCAGGAGTCCTGGTCTGGAGTGTGTCTGGGAGGAGGCGGAACTATCCTGAAGCCGAGTCGAGGGTGGAGGAGTCAGGAGGTCTCTGTGCCACGAGGGGAGGGGCGGGGGGCCCACCTTGCCTGAGGTGGGAGGCGGGGAGCGGGCTGGGGAAAGTGTGTCTGCACCGGAGGCAGCTGACTGTCCAGCCCTCGAGCAGGAGGCCCAGGAAGGTGGTGTTTTGCAACCCCAGAGCTTGAGAAAGGCTCTTCCCACGTCTCGCACTTGCCGCAGCTGCTGCTTCTGCATTTGGCCCCAGCGAGCAGGGGAGGAGTCTCTGGTTCCCAGACCTGGATGGCTGAGCGCCCACACTTTTCCAGGGGCCAACCTGGGGGAAAACCAGTCCTGGACTCCCCTCTGGGCCTCCGCGGGCGAGTGCCGGGGCTGGGAGGCCGCCCCCGTGACTCCAGGGACTTCCTGGGAGTTCTTCTGCAGTCTCTTCCCAGCCAGAGGTTGGCACAGTCAGGAGAGCAGACTTCCCAAGGAGGAAATTTCCAGGATATCCAGGAGATGACAGTTTCCCAAAACTCTGGCAGGAATAGACTGAAAGTTCCTTGAGCTGAGGGTGGGTGTAGCTTCCTCGCCTAGAACTTCCTGGTAGAGCCGGCCCCGGTCAGGCGACAATATTTATCGCAGCCAAGATCCCTGTAGTAATAGTAGCGAATCACTAAGGAGCTCGGGATTCCTCCCAGCAAGCCAGTGACAAGGCTGTCATCATCCTTCTTGAGGCACAGCGGGGGGGGGGGTCAGGGCACGGAAGTAACTCGCCAGGATCTGAACCCACAGCTGGGACTCCAAAACCCATGCTCTTCGTTTCCGGGTTTCCCGGCCCAGCCACCTGCTCCCACGTGGGAAAAAGCACGCGCCTCCAACAGCCCCTTCTGTGTCCGTGGGTGATGCTCTGCCCCAGGGACCCACCTGCCGCCAGCCTGCTCCTTTCCCCTAGATCCGTCCTTTCTCATAGGCTCCCACAGCACCCCTGCCAAAAAAAGGGAGACTTGGGAGGCTGCAGCTAGACCGCCAGGGGCTTCCGACAGGGGGAATGGTCTCCAAGCTGCCTTTGCAGAGCCAGCTCACCTCTCGCAGAGGCCCTTTGTGGTGTTAGTTTGACGAGGGTACTTTGGTGAAACTTGGGGGACCTGAACCCTAACCCAAGCCTCCTCTTGGCACAGCTCCCGCTGGCTGCTGGGGCGTTGGGAGGGGCGAGGGGGCAGGAAGGGGCCAGGGAGCTGGACTTCTAGGGAAGGAAGTGCCTCCCGCCGGGGGGGCGGGGGGGGGCATCGCTGGCTTGAATGGAAAGCTGCAGGTTTTGTATTCAAGGGAACAAGGCTTCACTGTGCCCGCCGAGCCAGGCCCCTCGAGGCCGCCTGTGAACAGCCAGCAGCCAGGCTCTCGGGGAAGACAAAACCCCGGTTCTGCTTCTGCTGCCCAAGTGGGGCTGTGAGCCCTGACCCAGGCGGGGCCTCAGGGCTGCAGCCCGGGCTCCGCTGGGGCTCCCACCTCCCGCTCCCGGGGCAGGGGGCAGGGAACCAGCTCTCCTGGGGAGGAGCCGTCTGTCTGTCAGAGCCCAGTGGCCAGAGCCTGGGCGTCAGTCCTGACTCCACCCCCGAATTAGCAGGTCTGCCTGCCCTCCCTGGACCTCAGCTTCCCATCTGTAAAAGGAGCAGGCTCTGTCTGATGATCCCCAGAGGTCATTTGGCAGCGACCTTATTTCTGAGGGGTCCTGAACCCTGCCAGACCGCAGAACTGCCTTCCAGGTCTTCCAGTCCCTCTGTTCCGTGTTCCTCAGCGGGTCCTGCCTGAGGAGGCAGGTGGGGGAGGGAAAAGGGGACAGAGGGAAGGTGGGCTCTCTGCCACCATCCCTGGCCTCACGCCACAGCCGTGCAGGTTCCGCCAGGGACACACCTCCCCATTTTACAGAAGAGGAAACTGAGACCCCAGAGGGGTGCCGTGATTTGCTTAGGGTCACAGGAGGTTTTCAATGACTGAACCAGAGCATCCTTGTCTGGCCAGCAGGGATCGTGGTCCCCACGTCTGGGGGCGAAGCTCAGAGCAGGTGACGCACGGTGCCTGCACGTGGACGCGCCACGTCAGTGGAGCCTGGGCAGTCAGTCCTCCCTCCCTGTGCGGCCTCAGGCCACCCTCTGGTCCACCCTCACCCTACCTCTCTGCCCGTCCCTCAGGCAACCCTCCAGGCCAGAGGGTGTGGCCCCAGAGGGCTTCAGCAGGTAGCGGGGGGACCCTGGCTGGCAGTAGCCTGCATGGGACTCTGCAGGGTTTTGTAAGCCAAGACCTGCCAGAGACGTAGGCAGCCGTGTAATTCTGAACCTGCCGTGGAATCTGAGGACGATGCCCTAGTTCCCTGCCTGCCCAGCCTCGTCCCCAGCCACTCCATCTCCTGACCCCTTGCGTCAGAGAGGCAGGCTTCCCTCTCCTTGTTTGGACGCCTCCTCCCTGCCCACCTTTCCCTCCTCCTCTCCGCCTGCCCACACCCTTGCTGCTCGAGTGCCGCCCCTCCCCGCTCCTTTCTGGAAGGCCGTGCGGTGCAGTGGTTAAGGGTGGGGCCCTGGACTCTGCGGCCCTGGGTTTGAATCCCAGGTCTGGGTCCTGGGGCAGGACACGGCAACCTTTCTGAGCCTCGGTCCCTCGCCCCAGAGCAGGGAGAACCACAGCACCCGCCTCACAGGGGTGTTACGTAGCACTTAACCCAGCGTCTGGCATCCAGTCAGTACTTACTGAGTTCCTGTCCGCATCGCCCCCAGCCCCAGCGGTGGTGGTCTGGGCTGTCACCAAGGGAGTGCCACAGAAGCCACTGCCTGGCTCCACTTACCCCCCACGGAGCTGCTGGGCCGGAGTGACAGGGGCCCAACCTAAGAGCCCTTTTCTCCTGCTGAACAGACGCTCTGATTGACAGCCACATATGCTTTGATAAATAACAAAAACGGGGACGGGAATGGACTCTCACTCAATGACGTGCAAGGCGGGAGGCAGGGGAGAGTGGACAGCAGCTCCGGAGTGGTACTGAAGCGGACTGACTCCTCCAGAGCCCGATGCCACCGCCGGGCGGCTGACTCCGAGCGGGGTACACGGCTGCCCCCCCCCTCCCCGGGCAGAACTACCAAGTGAAGTTCTGGGGATTCCGTGCGAAAGGCCTGAGCTTTGTAGAGCCCACCCTGGGGTCTGGTCAGTGGGCTTTTTGGAACGTAGGTGGGGATTCTAAAAAACCTCAGGTCCGCTCCTTAGCTCCTTAGCTCATTCACCCAGCAGCTTATCTCACTAAGTTCCTGCTGCGGGCGAGGCCCGGAAACTAAGGGGACAGTGAAGTTCCCGCCCTCGAAGCTCAAAGTCCCAGAGAGGGGCTGTGGATAGGGGCCTTTGGGGGACAGGGGATGGGCCCCCAGGGCTAGAGACGGGAGGTTCCGTCCGTTTCCGCCTTGGGGACCGGAAGGTCTCCGGAGGACTGCCCTGCCACTGGGCCCTCCACGGCCAGCCCCCGCCCCTCGCCCTGTTCAGTGGGGGCCCAGGTCCAGGTGTCCCCGAAGGAGCCCCTCTACGTTATTTCAGAGATTGAATGTAACCCTCTCACCCACCCGGTGAGGTGAGTCCCATCAC